GGAGAGCATGATCAACGGTGTCAAAGGCCACTGAGAGGTCAAGAAGAATTAGTATGGAGTAGTGGCCTTTGGATTTAGCTGCGCTTAGGTCATTAGTAACTTTGATAAGGGCAGTCTCTGTAGAGTGGAGAGGGCGGAAGCCAGATTGAAGGGGGTCAAGGAGAGAGTTGGAATTGAGGAAATGAGACACACGGGTAAAGACAAGTCTTTCCAGAAGCTTTGAGGAAAAAGGGAGCAGGGATATGGGACGGTAGTTAGAGGGGGTGGACGGGTCGAGGGATGTTTTTTTTAGTATAGGTACTACAGTGGCATGTTTAAGGTCAGCAGGGACGATGCCAGAAGAGAGCGAGCAGTTGAAGATGTGTGTTAGAGAAGGCACGAGACAAGTGGAGAGAGATCTGATAAGGTGAGATGGGACAGGATCGAGCGGGCAAGTGGTGGGGCGAGAGGAGCAAAGAAGAGCAGCCACCTCTTGGTCAGTGGCTGGGGAGAATGTCTGAAGGGTAGGAAAGGCATGATCTATGTGTGATTGAGAAACAGAAAGGCAAGGAGGGGAGAATTCTTTCCTTAGCTGTTCAATTTTGTCAGTGAAGTAACATGCAAAGTTATCAGCAGTAAGGTTGGTTTGGGGGGTGGCCACAGCGGGGCGAAGAAGAGAATTAAAGGTGTCAAAGAGACGCCTGGGGTTGCGGGAACATGAACTAATGAGAGAGGAAAAATAGGACTGTTTGGCAAGGGCAAGGGCTGCACTGTATGAACACAATATGAATCTATAGTGGAGAAAGTCTGACTGGGTGCGAGACTTCCTCCAGGAGCGTTCAGCACAACGGGAGCATCTTTGCAGGTAGCGCGTTGATTTAGTATGCCATGGTTGGGGGCGGGTCCTCCTTGAGGTGCTTGTTTGGAGTGGTGCTGCAGTGTTCAAGGCAGATGTAAGAGTAGAGTTATATATGGAGATGGCCAGTGAAGGACAGGAGAGGGAAGGGATGGACAGCAGTTGTGAATCAATGTCAGCTGACAACTGTTGGAGATCAAGAGAATTAAGGTCCCTCCTGAGTTGAGGGTGGTTAGGCGGAGGTTGTTGGGTGAGGGGGTACGTGAGAGCAAAAGATAAGAGGTGGTGATCAGAGAGTGGATACGGAGTGTTGCAGATATTAGATACAGTACATGCATAAGTGAAGATTAGGTCAAGGGTATTGCCAGCTACATGGGTGGGAGAATTTGCCCACTGTGATAGCCCGAGGGAGGAAGTAATTGAAAGTAGTTTATTGGCTGCAGAGGTCAAAGGTGGGTTTATAGGAATATTGAAGTCCCCGAGAATTAGGGATGGGATGTTAGAAGAGAGGAAATAGGGTAGCCAGGCAGCAAAGTGGTCAAGGAAGAGAAGAGGGGAACCAGGGGGACGGTAAATAACAGCAATGTTAGCAGAGAAGGGTTTGAAAAGGCGAATTGAGTGTATTTCAAATGACGGGAAAGAGAGGGAAGGGGGGGTGGGAAGAGGTTTAAAAGAACAGTGAGGGGAGAGGAGAAACCCAACACCACCACCTTTACATTCAGAGTTTCTTGGGTTGTGGGTAAGTTGGAGACCACCGAAGGACAAAGATGCAGGGGTGGCAGTGTCAGAGGGGGAGAGCCAGGTTTCTGTTAAGGCTAGTAAATCTATTGAACGAGAGATGAAGAAGTCATGGACAGCAGTGGATTTAGTTATATTGCAAACAGAGCGTGCGTTCCAGAGGGCAGTTTTGAAGGAGGATTTAGAGGAACAAGAGATGGGTATGAGATTAGTGTGGATCCTTGGGTTAGTATGTGCTGAGTTTGTTGAGAGGGGACCGGGGTTTGGAGAGACATCACCAGCTGCTAGGAGCAGAAGGATAGAAAGGAAGTGAAGGTGGGAGTAGGATTTGAATGTTTTGTAGGAGGGTATGTATGTAGAGGATTTGGAAAGAGTTGGTGGAGATAGGCTGGAAAGGTATGTGAAGAGTGCATGGGATGAATAGAGAGGCGAGGGGAGTAAGGTGGAAGTAATGATGATGGTGTTGCCAGGGAAAGGTGAGTGAAAGGATAGGGATATTTTAGTAAAGACAGAAGTTAGTGTTAAAGTGAAAAATAGAAGGGAGAACATTAGAGAAAATGTTTATTATATAGATATGTAGATCATATATACAAACACACACAAATATCAATGAGTGTTTAAACCATTGTAAGGATGCAGTGTGTTAAATGAATTCAGGTGAGGAGTGGTTTAATGACTTGATTGGTGTGTTATGGAAATCTGCTGATGTGCACTATCTATAAATGAGTTGATGACCATGGGGTGGAATGGGATGGTGGGCAATCTTCCAGAGATGATACCTCTGCTCTGAAGATTCAGCAGGACTTGGTTGCTTGGGAGTGCTGGGTGTTAATGCTGTTTTAAGGGGCCCAGTCTCTGCTCTGAAGATTCAGCAGGACTTGGTTGCTTGGGAGTGCTGGGTGTTAATGCTGTTTTAAGGGGCCCAGTCTCTGCTCTGAAGATTCAGCAGGACTTGGTTGCTTGGGAGTGCTGGGTGTTAATGCTGTTTTAAGGGGCCCAGTCTCTGCTCTGAAGATTCAGCAGGACTTGGTTGCTTGGGAGTGCTGGGTGTTAAATCTTTGTACTGTACCTGTATCCCATCAGGTCCATGGGGGGCTGTCCCTGGACCTGGGAACTTGCATAAATTGCCATGCTTGTGTGCCATTAAAGCCAGTTCATTTTGACCCTCAACTTGCAGCCTCGACTCGTGTTGTAGGGATCAGGGAATCCTAGCTTTTCTATAGCTAGTGGGATATTCTACACTTAGAGGTTTCTACCGATTGAAGCACCGTTCGACTCTCTTACTTCGGGAACCAGGACATTCACGTGATCCAACCTCCTGCTAGACTGGAGGCAATCGTAACAGCTCCCTAATACCGTGGGAATTAGGGAGTTAACTACTAAGCGGCTGCTTATTTTATGTTATTTTTAAGTGATTTCCCTATTCACATTTGTTTGCAGGGCACTTGTCCTACTCCTACCGCCATTTTACTTCCTTTTGCAGCCCTTTAGCCCTTTTTTAGAGCCATTTTAGCCCTTTAGCCCTTTTTTTAGAGCCATTTTTGTGCCCCCAAAAAAACCCGCCGGACCCGAACATCCAGGTATCCGCTCAACTCTAGTCCTTGGTCTAAGGGCAAACATGGGTGAAGCGCCTGTGAGTAGATCTGTCCCCATTGACTTTAGTGGGGACATAAACATTGTGTTCAGAAAGATAGGCAACAGTGTGCAATTTGAGGTTATCAACCTGATTGTTTTAGTAATTCTACCCTTTCCTGTAAGAATTGAAAAACCAGACTTAAAGGACCAGTCTAGGCACCCAGACCACTTCAGCTAAATGAAGTGGTCTGGGTGCCAGGTCCCTCTAGGATTAACCCCTTTTTTTATAAACATAGCAGTTTCAGAGAAGAAAGGGTCTAGAAAGTAAACTAAAGAAAAGGACCTCCAAGGTAATATATTCAGATATATTACCTGTGCCGCGTGCTATAGCAGAAAGGAAGTGGGAGATTAGAGAGGTCAATGCGTGGCTGAAGTCTTGGTGCAGGAAAGAGGGTTTGGGGTTTTTAGAGCACTGGGCCAATTTTGCGCTTGGGTACAACCTGTATAGTCCTGATGGATTGCACCTAAACGGAAGAGGGACTGCTGTGCTGGGGGATAGAATGGCTAGAAGATTGGAGGAGATTTTAAACTAGTAGTTGAAGGAATTGAAACAGTTAATCTATTAGTAATGTAGAAATGAATTATTTTGTAAATGTAGTAGCAAGCTCTTTTCAGAACCGCTTACAAAACATAACTGAAAGGAAGTCACAAGTTATGACAGTTTCTATGTATCAGGAGATGCTTAACCAATGTACATGTGGTATTTTGTAAGATCAGATTATTGAATGTAACAGCAGAAACTACTTCCTCTTTTATGTATCTTGTGTAACTTTCTGTAACCAATGTTCGTGACAAATATTGTATAAGTACAGAGCATTTTGAATACATTGTCAGAAGACTTTTGGAAAGCAATCTTGTGTCTGTCTCGTTATTCTGCTTCCATAATTCTTCCCTGAGCTCAGGTGGCAATCGAGGGTTGGAGAACCGTGACCAGAAGGGATCGAGTCATCAGTTTAGCCTTTCAGCTTGGTGTAAGAAGTGGGATTGTAGCCAAACCATTTTGGGTGAGTAGTAATTCCTTGTGTCTATCTTGACGCCCTGAATCTATGATCCCAATGGTTTTGTAAGTCTACATCATTTTAGGAAAGGTTATTTAGTATATGTGTTTTATGTGACTCAGTTTTACATAAGGTCCCGTTAAATTAGTCTAGTGAGTGAACTAGACAGAGAGATATATGTATTTCTAGTAAGTGAACTAGAGAAGGTCTAATAAGAGAATTAGACAGATAAAAGGAAGTCTATAAAGTGATATAGACAGAGAATTTAGTATATAAGTGAATATACTACGATAGTGTGCACAGAGTTTCAGGTTCACTTTGTCCACCCTCTAATTGTCATTAGTTAAGTCTGGTTGTGAGTGTGAATAAGTGTTTGAAAGATTTGTCCTAGGAATGGGAAATAACCATGTAAAATATGAAGTAGTTAACTTTTCTTGTGCATATGTATTTTATGCTTAGATAAGGTTTATAATCATTAGTGCTGACTGTAAGGATATGAAATGGTTAACTCTTTTTTCTTTATATGCTAACCCTGAAAATATACTCACTGAGAATCTTGTTAAAGCACATTTGTAGTGTCCATGTCTTTATTGCAAACAATGATTCTCCATCAATTGGGTGATTGGCTATATTGGGGACACACTTTGGTAAGTTAGTAGTGTGTCCACCCTGAGTCAGCAGTATGGGAAATGTGAGTTCAGGTCCTGAGTAGTGATGTCACGAACCGTTCGCTAACTTGCCGCGAACGGTTCGCCGCGGTTCGCCACGAACCGTTCGCGGCGAACTCCGGTCAGCTGACACATCCCTGTCAATCTCCGGCAGACCCTCCCTCCCAGACCCTCCCACCTCCTGGACAGCATCCATGTTGAAGCTGCCTTCAACATGGATGCTGTCCAGGAAGTAGGAGGGTCTGGGAGGGAGGGTCTGCCGGAGATTGGCAGGGATGTGTGAGCTGACCGGAGTTCGCGGCAAGTTCGCGGACGGTTCGCGACATCACTAGTCCTGAGTGACATATATATATATATATATATATATATATATATAAAGATACCAATACTGTATATTAGAAAAGAACTGACTCGCAGGTTGTGTCTGATAGACCTACTTAAATCTTTTGTTTTATTCTTTCTGTTGCATAGAAGTATAGTTTATTACTCTGTTTTATTGTAAGTTATTTTACATGGGATCTGTGTGCCTGGTATGATTATTACTTTAATACCATAAGCCCACTACACTTTCTATGAGAGTGGGATAGTGTATATGTGTTACATTGTTTGCATGATGAGCTCAGTATTTTTATAACTGAGACAAAAAGTCACTTCATTAGTATTTGAAAGTTAATTCCCCATATGGGATTAATTGTATAGAGCACCAATCAGCACATCTTCCCTGCGCTGTGTGTTTGTTGCAAAGGATCCATACTGTAAATATGATTTTGGTTTGTTAACCCCTTAAGGACGGAGCCAAATGTACACATTGTGAACAAAACAAAATGTAAACAAAACCTGGCATTTGCGCTACATGTCTGTCCACCCGTAATACACCTCTTTCATAGTAAATGCACCCACCCTTATTATATATCATTTTATTCAGGGGAAACAGGGCTTTCATTTAATATCAAATATTTAGCTATGAAACATAATTTAATATGAAAAAAATGGGAGAAAATAAGTTTTTCTTGGATTTTTTTAGTTCTACATGACATTTTAACGGTCAATGTCATAATACTGTTTGCTTTTACTGCAATAAAATACACATATTTGTATTCAGTAAAGTCTCACGTGTAAGACAGTACCCCCTATGTACAGGTTTTATGGCGTTTTGGGAAGTTACAGGGTCAAATATAGCACGTTACATTTGAAATTGAAATTTGCCAGATTGGTTACGTTGCCTTTGAGACTGTATAGTAGCCCGGGAATGAAATTTACACCCATAATGGCATACCATTTGCAATAGTAGACAACCCAAGGTATTGCAAATGGGGTATGTCCAGTCTTTTTTAGTAGCCATTTGGTCACAAACACTGGCCAAAGTTAGCGTTAGTATCTGTTTGTGTGAAAAATGCAAAAAATGCCAATTTTGGCCAGTGTTTGTGACTAAGTGGCTACTAAAAAAGACTGGACATACCCCGTTTGCAATACCTTGGGTTGTCTACTATTGCAAATGGTATGCCATCATAGGGGTAATTTTCATTCTTGGGCTACCATAGGGTCTCAAAGGCAACGTAACCAATCTGGCGAATTTTAATGTGAAAAAACTGAAATGCAAGCCTTATATTTGACGCTGTAACTTTTGAAAACACCATAAAACCTGTACATGAGGGGTACTGTTGTACTCGGGAGACTTCGCTGAACACAAATATTTGTGTTTCAAAACAGTAAAAAGTATCACAGCAATAATATTGTCCGTGTAATGCTGTTTGTGCGTGAAAAATGCAAAAAATGTCACTTTTACTGGCGATATCATCGTTGTAATACATTTTACTGTTTTGAAACACTAATATTTGTGTTCAGCGAAGTCTCCCGAGTAGAACAGTACCCCCCATGTACAGGTTTTATGGTGTCTCGGAAAGTTATAGGGTTAAATATAGTGCTAGCAAATTAAATTCCCTTTACTTTTGGCATGGGTTGTCAGGCAGGTCTGGCTAATTGTAATTAATTAAGATACCTAATTATGTAAAAATATTACATAAATATATATGTAGAATTAATATATGTATATACATACGTATGTGTATATATATGTATATATCTATATAATTTTTTTTAAATATTTTTATTTATATATATAGGTATATATATAGTGATATATACGTATATATTTATGTATATAGATATATATATTTCGTTCTACGTGTATTTTGATATATATATATTAATTTCACAAAACAGTTAGAACGAAATAACACACATCTATATATTTTTTAATTATTTATTTTTAATTATTTTTTAAATTTTATTTTTTAACGTATTTACATTTTAATTTTTTTTATATTATATATAAATATATATATAACAATAATTATATATATATTTAATCAGTATCAGTCTACGTGTAATTTGATATTAATATATATATATAATTATATATATATTAATAGTAAAATACACCTAGACGGTGTATGTGTGTGTATGTATATGTGTATATATATACTTAGATCATATATATATAATATATATATATGATCTAAGTATATATAATTATTTTTTTTACACCATTAACTTATTTTTATTTTATTTTCAGCCAGCAGGGGGACCACCTGTCATTACAGGCAGCCCCCCTGCCGGCAATACAGAAGCCAGCTATCCCCGGCCATGTGATTGTGGGGTCCTCGCTAGGACCCCACTCTCACATGGCCGGGGGGCTTCGACGAGGACGGACGTGCCGCGGGGGGCTCCCTGGGTAAGTTAACAAAAACCGGAGGGCGTACAATTACGCCCGGCGGCGTTTAGAGCCGCCTATTAGAGGGCGTAATTGTACGTCCTCCGGTTTTAAGGGGTTAATAAGAGAGCAACATTTACATTTTCAGCGGTCCAACACATGCTTCATTTTGTGCTCTAAGCTAACCTTTTTATTGCGACAGATGCTTTAAATGAGCCAGTGTAAACACCTACTGCATATGTTTTGTGTCTTCTATGTCTCACATTATATGTGTTCTGTTCTTTTAAATTGTGGTATATAACCTGGATCAGAGATTATGGACAAAAGGTTTTTACCTGTGTTACTCTTGGAGACTCTTGGAGACTGACTGGTCTATAAATTTTTTAAGTCTCTGAGAGTTCTGTAAGATTCTGGTGAAACCATGTCTGTGTAATCTGGTCCAGATGTTTGCTCAATTTCTATAAGATTTAAGTTGATACAGCATCATCTCAGATTAGTTAATGGAAGTTTCATACAAATATTTGAGTTATGAGCGCGCTATATAAATGGATCCTTTCTTTATATACAATAGTAGTGTGTCCACCCTGAGTCAGCAGATTAAAGTAATTAAGTTAATTAGAATAAAAAAAAAAAAGTATACATAAGAATCCCTAAAATAAATCTAATACAAACTAAAATTGGTATACCTTACAATAATATGTTCTGAGTACAGCTGTTAACTGTTTATTCTGTGTAAATGGTGACTGTGATAATGTGTGAAGTGTGCAGCTTAACTGGAAAGTGGTTTAATATATATGTTGCTGTGTTGTTTTAAATTATATTTGAATCAGTTTGTCTCAGTCTAGTGATACTGATAAAAATGCCAGTCAAATAACTTTTATTAGCTGTTGAATACTAGCGTTTTGGCCAAGAGTAGTTCTATGAGCTTAGAGAGGCTCTGTGTTGTGGTCTGATATAGCTATGTGGGAATGGTGATTTGGAGGTGTTAGTTTAAGACTGCTTTCATATTGTGTCTACCCGTGTTTCCTAGGAGGGAAACAGAGTGTGTAGTTGCGTGCCCATGAATGTGTTTTCAGTATTGGTATATCTGCTGGGTATCCATTATGTGTTTATACTACGTCTGTTTTGTGGGATGTCTGTTTTGTGAGATGACGTGTAACATTACATTGGATGCTGAGTATAAGTTATATGGTTTGAAATGAATTGGTGTGTTATGTGTTTTATGTATTTTGTTATCCATTGTGTTGGAGTTTAACTAGCAGAGTGATTTGCATATCATTAACGCAAGCATTTAGTGTTTTTACAAAAGGTGAAATGCTGTCCAGCCGGCTAGAATGCAACAATTGTATGCTATCGCTCCTGGAGCAAGAAAAGCGCTTGTTACATCTCACGTGAAAGGGGCCCCGCAAACGTCTGCTGTTCAAATCGTGGATCCACGTTTCCATTTGCAAATTGATTAATCCTGAAAGTCATTCTTTTAAAAAGGATTGAATGGACAAGATGTCTCTCCCTCAGAAAGGTTCTAATAGGGGAGTATTGTCCAGCTCAGAGTTAACTCTACTTTTAAAGTATATTGCATTGTTTGTGTCAAAGTAAGATTCATCTAGTGTGCCTCATTGATTATGGGGTAATAATAACATGGTATTTTTAATAGAGATTAGACAATTTCTGAAATTTATAAGTGAGGTAATTTTAATCTCCTAAACTACTGTATTATATGTGTATGGGTAAATTGAAAAAATTTTGCAGATCCAGAAGAGCATTAATAAAAAATGTAATAATCTCACTAGGAGCCAAATTATGCAAAGAGGCTATACAAAGTACGCACTAAGGGGTTAAACTTGTTTTCTTGTTGAGCGTATAACATTTAGTTTTGTGGTTAGACTTTTGATACTCAATTTGAAATATGTCCCAATTACATCCTTGCATGGCACCAGGTACAGGTAGCAATATGCGTTTTAAAAATTTGCAAGGTCTTAGTGTTTTCAATATATCATAACAATGGAAAAGTACCTAACCGCATGTCTGCATTACGCTCATGACACAGACTGTCAGTATTGCAAACACTATATGAAGGCTATACTTTCATTGTCGATGTATATACCCCTAGACAACCTTGCTTTATATAAAACCTTTAAAAGCTTATTAATATTATATATGTGTGGTACATAAAGATGGGCAAAGAGGGGGTGTGAATTAGGTAATCCCGACCTGCATATGGAATATGCTTCCTCCTTGTTCACTTTTGTTCCTTGTTGGTCTGTGACTGGCCCTTTTTGACCCCAAATGATTTTTTGGGGAAGATACGGCAATTGTGGAGAGCAGGGTCACTGAAAAAATGAGTGCCCAAACCCACCCCCACAGATTCCTCAATACCAACCACAACTTCCAATCTATACCAACACCCAACAGCCCCAGCCTAATACACAGATGGTTCATGTTTTTAATATTTTATATAGTTTTAGGTGTTAAATCAAGAGTATTGAATTATTCGGGATTGTTAAAGTAATTAATTTTGAGTATCAAATCAAGGTTCAAGTTTAGGAATAGAGTTTTATTGGGAATTATCCCCATATGTATATGTTAGTGTTTTAATATTCATCCTAACAAGCATTTCTATAGAGTGAGTGCTTTTCTGATCCATACAAAGGCATTCCAAAGGGGTATTATGTAAAACTTGATAGAAGACAGATTGCATAAAATATAAGCAAATATAAGAGAAGTACATGTTACACAAATTAAGGGTTTAACCTTAATCTCTAATTTAAGTTTTAGCCTAGGTAGTTAATTAATTGATGTTGTATTGATCCTTATGTTTGTATGATTGTAGAGACCGTCCTGGAGTGTTTGCCGCCTGATTTCTGGGACTACACACCAATCTCTCTGGCTAACCATGCAATAAGTATTTTGCAATTACATCTGTTTGGTCATTATCCATGCAGGCCGAGGAAACCGAGATACTTATTTATGAGGACATAAACTTTGCATGCAAGAACCTTGCATGCAAGAACCGCTGGTTCTGTAATAACCCTTTCAACCACTGAGGTGTTGCACAGAGCATTGTGGTGAAAATCCAGCAAACAAAAGAAGAACTATGTGGAAGCTGACATTGTCTTGTTGTCAGCCATATTGCTACCCTTAGCCATTTTATGGAACAAAATGTCTGGTGTCTAAACTGATTTCTTTATACTCTGTGAAAGACTTATTCTATTTTTCTGAACTATGATGAACTATTGAACTATTTTTATTTTTGTAGAGTTAGCCAGAGAGAGAGGAAGTGTTAGCTGGCCCAGGGATGGGTGTACTATGTGTGTTTTTGATATATGTTGAGTGTGCCAAGGATGGATTCCCATGTTTTGAGGAACTGCGTGAGGATATGACTGGTTTTGTTTGGACCTTTGAAATAGGGAAATGGTTAAAAGATATAGGACGCAAGGTCCTGGTTGTGATTATTGTCAGAATTTCAAGCTAGATTATAATTTATCTCATGAATTAAAATGTAAGAAGTGTTTCTCAATTCCTCCTAATACCCGAGCTATGTACTCACAGGTGCAGGTATTATAAGTCATAAGTGGTGTCAACTGTGAGGGGATGACATGTCTAACACGATTGCGGCCCCCACTCAGGTTTTCCCTAGATGTGCTTTTTCCTCAAATATGAGTTTTTGCCACTGGGTTTTTGCCTGGCCCCAGATCATCGGGTGGACTGGTAATCCTAGACCCGGGTCCTTGGACGGGGGATAGGTATTATTCCCACTTTGACTATATGCGCCCACTTGCGTGGACGAAGGAGGAAAACAACTGTTGGGAATAATATACTTTGCCCATATTTACCTAGGGTTTATGACAGATTGTATCTGGTAGCTAGTTAGTGTCAGGTATAGCATGGCATGTATTTCGTCGCCGGAACCCACTTCCGGGTTCACGGCGCTCAGCCCCGCCCTTTTCTCTGACGCGGTCCCTCCACGATACTTAGGAAGACCGCGCCAGATTCAAAGGGCTGGATTATTCGCACAGGTGCTGCAGAAAGATCAGCTGCTCTACTTTTGATCCTACCTGCTCCACTTCTAGACCTCGGCTAGTAAAACGGATTTCTACCTTCTCCACTTCTCGACCTCGGCTTGTAAACGGATTTCTACCTTCTCCACTCCTAGACCTCGGCTTGTAACTCTGAATTCTACCTTCTCCACTCCCAGACCTCGGCTTGTTAAAACGGACTTCCCCACTCTCCACTCCTAGTTCTCAGCTTGTTGAAACGGACTTCTAATTTCTCCTTCATTGGGTGAATTAACCCTTCCAGTGCCAGAACTGCCTTTAAGTTAAGTAATACTTTTACCAAACAAGCCAATTCCTATTATTTATGTTACACAGTATCTAAAACTCACTAAAGTGTCACTTTGTCTAATTATTCCTCTTATTCATAAGGGATTGCTACAAAGCCTAATTTTTCCTTCATGTGTATTTAAAGGTACAGTGACCATTGTTTCATATCAATATAAAAGGAGGTGAAACTTATTGTTGCAGCAACCAGGGAAATCTGCAGTTGAGTTCCAATTAAAGAATTATTACAAAATAAATATCACAGTTAGTCTGTTTAAAATTGGTTAGCATGTCAGCTATTTGCAATAATTATTGTTATGGTTCTGGTCCTTGCTCTACTTGTTTATGCTATTTTTAAGACTATTGTATTCTGCATTTACAAACATACACGCAACACTGTTCCTGCAAAATCCCCAGCTTGCTATGATGAATATAAGTTTATGGTACTGGTCGAATGCCTAGTCTTATGCTATGGAAATAGTGGCCGAAGACATAATGAAAGACTTGCAGGATTGGCTAACAATCCTGAATATACCATGGCAGATGGCTAGTTGTCTGACCAGGACTCCTTAAATAGGGTATGAGCAAGATAATTGCTCAAAGAGGGGAAAATGAAGGAATTGAAACAGTTAATCTATCTATCAATCGACGGTTGGAAAACTGTGACCAGAAGGGATCGAGTCATCAGTTTAGCCTTTCAGTAGTAGGGGGGGAGGGTCAAAGCAATCTAGAAAATGGAGATAGGATAGAAAGGAGATGGGCTTTAGCTCAGTGTAAGGGTGGTGGAGATGGGGGGATGGGAAAGCTCAGAACAGAGGAGGTATGTAATATTGATGAAAATTCACAAAAAATACAAATGACTCATGACAATATGGGGGAACTAGAGGCAATATCATACACTAAACAATATGATAGAATAGGCATAACAGAAACATGGTGGGATGAGACACATGACTGGGCAGTTAACTTAAATGGGTACACGTTATTTAGGAAGGATGGGAGAACAAGAAGTAGGGTGGTATATGTTTGGCATGTGGAGTGTGATGAGGAAAATGTGGAAGCTTTATGGGTAGATATCTGCTTCGGACAAACAAAGGGAAATTAATTATTGGTTGGGATATGTTATAAACCACCTAATGTAAATATTAATGAGGAAGAACAGCTGTTAGAGCAAATTGGAAAAGCTGCAAATCGGGGTAACACGTTAATTATTGGAGATTTTAATTACCCAGACATAAATTGGGATAGAGTGACTAGTACTTCAGCAAGGGGAATCAGGTTTTTGAATGTGTTAAATGACAACTTTATGTCACAACTTGTACAAGCACCAACTAGAAAGAATGCTTGTCTGGATCTCGTTATAACAAACAATGTTGATCTTTTGACCAGCATTCAAGTAGGGGAGCATTTGGGAAATAGTGATCACAATATGGTAATTTTTTTAATAAACTCAAAAAAGCAAAAGCACGTGAGGTATACTAAAACTTATAATTTAAAAAAAGCTAATTTCAATAAGAAGCTCTACAACATATCGACTGGCATAAACTCCTTAGTGATAAAAAAACTGAGGAAAAATGTGAACAATTCAAACAAATATTAGAAAGGTACATTTCACAGTATGTACCATTGGTAATAAATATAAAAGAAACAAATTGAAACCAATGTGGCTTAGTAAAGAAGTAAAACAAGAGATTAAAAATAAGAAAATGGCATTTAAATCATTTAAATCAGACAAATCAGAGGCATCCCATATAAGATATAAGGAAGCCAATAAAGCTTGCAAAAGGGCAATTAAAGTGGCTAAACTAGAAAATGAAAAATTGATAGCCAAAGAATGCAAAACCAACCCCAAATTTTTTTTCAAGTACATCAATTCTAAAAAACAAAAAATGAAAGTGTAGGTACACTGGAAACAGAGAGGGGTCTGTTAGTTAATGAAGACCTGGAAAAGGCAGAAATTTTAAATAGCTATTTTTCATCACTATATATTAATGAGGAGCCTATGGCAAGCGATGTGCAAATGATTGCTGCAAAAAACTTGCAGATAACTTGTGATTGGATAACTCGAGACAAGGTGCTACATCTGTTAGAGAAAATAAATGTAAATAAAGCTCCGGGGCCTGCCGGTATTCACCCATGAGTACTTAGGGAGCTAAGTAGGGAAATAAGTGAACCACTGTTTTTAAATTTTCAAGATTTTTTTGTTTCAGGTTTTGTACCGAAGGATTGGAGGAAGGCAGATGTCGTTCCTATATTTAAAAAGGTTTCAAAATCATAGCCTGGAAATTATAGACCTGTGAACTTAACTTCTGTGACTGGGAAAATATTTGTAGGGCTATTAAGGGATAATATTCAGGAATTCATTGGGAAGAACTTTGTTATTAGCAATATTCAGCATGGTTTTATGAAACATAGGTCATGTCAAACTAACCTAATTGCATTCTACGAAGAAGTAAGTAGAAGTATAGATCAGGGTGTTGCAGTGAATGTGATCTACTTGGATTTTGCCAAGGCATTAGATACAGTTCCTCACAATGGGTTAGTCTTCAAACTAAAAGAAATTGGTCTAGATGATTATTCTTGTTCTTAAGTAGAACATTGGCTTAAGGATAGAGTACAACGAGTTGTAATTAATGGTAAATTTTCAGGCTGGGCAAAAGCGGTAAGTGGTGTCCCTCGGGGTTCTGTTTTTAGGACATATTTAACATATTTATAAATGATCTTGAAATGGGCATTGAAAGCCATGTTTCGGTGTTTGCAGATGACACAAAACTCTGTAAAGTAATAAAATGTGAGCAGAATATTGCTTTGCTGCAGAGGGACTTGGATAGATTGGGGGATTGGTCACTAAAATGGCAGATGAAATTTAATGTAGAGAAATGCAAAGTTGTGCACTTCGGGGTCAAGAATGCACAAGCAACTTACACCCTAAGTGGTAGTGAATTAGGGATAACCACACACGAAAAGGATTTGAGAATTGTTATAGACATCAAATTACAGGGAGTGCAGAATTATTAGGCAAATGAGTATTTTGACCACATCATCCTCTTTATGCATGTTGTCTTACTCCAAGCTGTATAGGCTCGAAAGCCTACTACCAATTAAGCATATTAGGTGATGTGCATCTCTGTAATGAGAAGGGGTGTGGTCTAATGACATCAACACCCTATATCAGGTGTGCATAATTATTAGGCAACTTCCTTTCCTTTGGCAAAATGGGTCAAAAGAAGGACTTGACAGGCTCAGAAAAGTCAAAAATAGTGAGATATCTTGCAGAGGGATGCAGCACTCTTAAAACTGCAAAGCTTCTGAAGCGTGATCATCGAACAATCAAGCGTTTCATTCAAAATAGTCAACAGGGTTGCAAGAAGCGTGTGGAAAAACCAAGGCGCAAAATAACTGCCCATGAACTGAGAAAAGTCAAGCGTGCAGCTGCCACGATGCCACTTGCCACCAGTTTGGCCATATTTCAGAGCTGCAACATCACTGGAGTGCCCAAAAGCACAAGGTGTGCAATACTCAGAGACATGGCCAAGGTAAGAAAGGCTGAAAGACGACCACCACTGAACAAGACACACAAGCTGAAACGTCAAGACTGGGCCAAGAAATATCTCAAGACTGATTTTTCTAAGGTTTTATGGACTGATGAAATGAGAGTGAGTCTTGATGGGCCAGATGGATGGGCCCGTGGCTGGATTGGTAAAGGGCAGAGAGCTCCAGTCCGACTCAGACGCCAGCAAGGTGGAGGTGGAGTACTGGTTTGGGCTGGTATCATCAAAGATGAGCTTGTGGGGCCTTTTCGGGTTGAGGATGGAGTCAAGCTCAACTCCCAGTCCTACTGCCAGTTCCTGGAAGACACCTTCTTCAAGCAGTGGTACAGGAAGAAGTCTGCATCCTTCAAGAAAAACATGATTTTCATGCAGGACAATGCTCCATCACACGCGTCCAAGTACTCCACAGCGTGGCTGGCAAGAAAGGGTATAAAAGAAGAAAATCTAATGACATGGCCTCCTTGTTCACCTGATCTGAACCCCATTGAGAACCTGTGGTCCATCATCAAATGTGAGATTTACAAGGATGGAAAACAGTACACCTCTCTGAACAGTGTCTGGGAGGCTGTGGTTGCTGCTGCACGCAATGTTGATGGTGAACAGATCAAAACACTGACAGAATCCATGGATGGCAGGCTTTTGAGTGTCCTTGCAAAGAAAGGTGGCTATATTGGTCACTGATTTGTTTTTGTTTTGTTTTTGAATGTCAGAAATGTATATTTGTGAATGTTGAGATGTTATATTGGTTTCACTGGTAATAATAAATAATTGAAATGGGTATATATTTGTTTTTTGTTAAGTTGCCTAATAATTATGCACAGTAATAGTCACCTGCACACACAGATATCCCCCTAACATAGCTATAACTAAAAACAAACTAAAAACTACTTCCAAAAATATTCAGCTTTGATATTAATGAGTTTTTTGGGTTCATTGAGAACATGGTTGTTGTTCAATAATAAAATTAATCCTCAAAAATACAACTTGCCTAATAATTCTGCACTCTCTGTAGGCATCAATATGCAATGTCAATCTGCAGTTGCTAAGGCCAGTAAGGTTTTGTTATGTATAAATAGGGGCATAAATTCTCGGGATGAAAATACAATTTTGCCTCTTTTTAAATCGCTGGTAAGACCACACCTTGAATATGCCGTGCAATTTTGGGCACCTGTTTTAAAGAAGGATATCATGGCACTAGAAAAAGTGCAGAGACGAGCTACAAAATTGATAAAAGGAATGAAGCATTTTAGTTACGAAGAAAGATTAAAAAATTTAAATCTCTTTAGTTTGGAAAAACAGCGCCTCAGAGGGATATAATAACATTATACAAATATATTCGGGGCCAGTACAAACCATTATATGGAAATCTATTCATAAACAGGGCTATACATAGAACACAAGGTCTCACATTTAGGCTGGAAGAAAGGAGATTTCATCTAAGGCAAAGAAATGTTTTTTTTTTACAGTAAGAGTAATAAGGATATGGAATTCTTTGCCTGAAGAGGTTGTTATATCAGAGTCCATACAGATGTTTAAACTGAAATTGGATAAATACTTGCAAGAACATAAAATACAGGGATATAATTTCTAATTAGTGGGGTAATAGCTGCTTGATCCAAGGACACATCTGACTGCTATTTTGTGGTCAAGAAGGACTTTTTTCCTAGTTTATTGCAAAATTGGAAGCGCTACATACTAGGTTTTTTGACATCTTTTGGATAAACAGCAAAAACATATGTAAGGAAGACTAAACTTGATAGACGCAAGTCTCTTTCAGCTATGTAACTATATAACTATGTAATACACACACACACATATATATATATATATCTATTTGTAGTCGGGGACAATGAGCCAAGTAATAGTATTGTTTGAACAAGTAGGATGTCGTACAAGTCGGTTGTGGTGTGCCGGGACCGACGGTGAGGTAGGCTTGTAAATAAAGAGGGAC